CAGGAATGCCGGTTTAAAAGGGGAGGGCAGTCAGTGCTCACAGCTTCTGGGCCAGAGTGACCCTCCTCCTCCTTTAAGTGGCACCTGACTAAAGGTCATTATTAAAGAAAGGTGTGTCTGATTTACGTGACATTTGCACTCTCTGATGGGAGAATAGACCCCCAAGAGCAGGTCAGCCTATATACAAATGCTCATAATAGCTAAAACAAATTCGGAACAATACACACATTTGGCAGAATGGAGTTAAGCGGTCACAGCTTCTACGAAGTGCTCCTCAGATCAATCAGTTACATGAACACAAATTACATAAACCCACTGATTTGCATGTACTAGTAACTGGTTACTTAAAGTCACCATCTGCTTCAGTTGCTCTTCCTCTGTCTTAGCTGCATTCTTTCAATGTCTGGTATTTCATTTCAGAGCAAAACTGCTTGGACATTGCCAAGGTCTACGCAGACTTCAGGATAGTGGAGCTGATTCAAGCCAAGTTTGACAGTCTTCCTAAATCCAGAGACAACAAGAAGGGAAAGGGAAACAAACTAGAACCCAAACCCAAATCGGCTGCCTCCATTAGAGACAAGGTAACGTCTATAGATCTAAATTGTACTGAGACTTTATTTGCCAGTTGCAACGGTACAGAAGTGTGAGTACGTCGGAATTCCTGCAAAGATCCCTCACGCAGGATTTAGGAAAAACAGAACAAATGCGACTATGCATGGTCTCATTCCTTAAATTATTAGTTAAAATATCAACAGTTTTATATAATTTCAGATTGCAGGCTTCATCAAATCAAGAGACATTACTTTCAGTTCAAGCTCTTAACTAGTGATACTACATTGAGGAATTTCTTCCCTTTACAACAGGGACCCTATGATGTGTTTTTACAGCTTGTTTTATAGGTCTGGTTTCTTAACGATTGCTGTTCCAGTTACGCTTATTAAACTATCCCAACACATGTGAAAGTCTGAAATGAAGATAAGGGAAACATGAGAAGGTGGCTGTGTTGCTGTAGCTGGGTAGTCAAGGCGTGTACAGTTGCTTTTGACAGCGGCAGCCCAGAGATCTTGTCTCCAAAGACATTGCACCTCCTCTTTGTAATACTCTCTGACAATGTTGAGTTCCTTATCAGCTGCGACATTACAGTGCGCTGCAATTCTGCTTTGCAGGGCCCTGGTCCCGCCTCTCCCGTGGTATCAGAAATGCCTGTAAAGAGAGAAGCACAGAAGGAGAGTATTATATTCCACAACTCTCTAATCACCAGCCAGGCGGCCAACAAGCCTGACATCAGCTTTGTGCCCAAAACGGTACATTACCCAGAAGTATCTTTCATGCACCAGTTAACGTATCACTGCATTTAATCACCAATACTTTCCAGCTAAATCTGCTTAAGATGGTACTAATTTATGCAGCTCCGTATATTTTATCTGGAGGCCAGGTTCTTCTTGGGACTGGGACCAACAAATTAAATGGCCATGTTTTTCGATGTATGTGTTCTGCGTGATTTTCTTTCTATCCAGCTGTTTTGGTTCTCTTCTGGATTTGTCTCAGGTCTGGGGTCGCCCGAGGACGACCAGCCAGCTTATCCAGAAGAAGGAGGAGTGGAGGGAACGGCACTCATATGAGGTGGACTTCGAGGATTTTCTGATGCCTTTCAACAGAAACATTATGGAAAAGTCTCAACAGCTGGCAGAGCCCAACTAATGCAAATAAACCTATTTCTGTTTGTATCTTTTAGTCAGTTACCTTTATCATTGTGCTGTACTGTATGTTCTATGCAAAATACATTAGTGTTTTTACAGCTTATTTTATAGGTCTAGTTTCTTAATGATCACAGTGCCCACTGCCAGTGGGTAAAGAAATAGGTGAATGACAGGGAACCTCAGGATTTCAATGAGTTGCTTCCAGGCTCATGTTCCTACATTAATGTTTAGAACAGGGATGTTTTCCACAAAACTGGATTTTTTTAATTAGTCAGATAACTTAAACAACATGTAAATTATCTGGCTAATGGGGGAATTCTGCTTTGTGCAATACCCTCCAGGTCATGCAGTTTAATATGGATTATGTAAGGGATAAACCGCAACAAGGTGTGTGGTTATACAAAAATATTCAAGAACAACTTGGCGCAATGCTAACCAACCTAGAGGTGATTATTTTTGTATAACTGCACACCTAGAAGTGGTTTATCCAGCTTAAACAACGGCTGAAAAACGAAAAATTTTACAAGAAGCAACTAGGTGCATTTAATTTTTCAGATTGAAAATTATCTCAATTAACAATTAGCAATGTTCCATTGTACTCTTAAACGTATAGTCCCTATAAGGATAGAATGCCTGGCCACACGGTTCACTGAAAGCGGAAAGTCCGTTAAGTAACCATAGAAACCATCAATGAACAGGTGCTTGCATTTTGAAAACCAAGGAAAATTAAGCTGATACGAATGACTTCTTATTTATAAGTAAAAAGTCAGACAGGTTTTTATATGAATATGTTTAATGAAACATTAAAATGCATTAATGTAGAACTGTTATTAGGCTGCCGGAACTACCTGTGTGGTTATATTAAAATAATCAACACCCCCATGACATCTCTGGACCAATAAGTAAATAGTAGTATTGACCGAAGCTGTGGTATAAAAAAAATTATATTGGCATGGACAGAACCGACTGAAGAGAGCTGTAGTAAACTGATTATTACTGAATTGATTGATATATAATGACCAGATCAGATTCCTTTTACAACCTGACAAAGCTTAACTTGAAGGGCTGTTCACTCGGGTGAACTCACAATGACTTATACACTAAAGGGTGATGGGGCAGGGTTGGGCAAAGGGCGGGAGAACATCCTGGATGCTAGTTCTTTGCGGGGTACATGTACACACACTACAGATCAGTGCGCCACAGTTACAGGACACATTCATCAGTCCTGCATCGCTGAAGCCTAATAATCATATCTTAAAGGGAAAGAAACATCAGCCTCCATGTAGTTTTTGACATTCTAATTAGTTAGTGAAGTTTAGTTCATAGTGCAGATTTTTCGTGATAGGGTCATTGGTAGCGTCTCTGAATCACTTTGACATTAAAATGAAAGCCATTAAAATTGAATGTGACTCAGGAAAAACAATAAATACATAGATACATAGACTACGGACAGTGACTGCATTTTCAGTGCAGTTTTGGATACTATCTTTGTAACAATATGTCCTATATCTATCTGAAAATAAATAAATGAGCAAATAAGTCCAATAAAACTTGAGTTTGAACTATATTGCACTGTTTTATCTAAATAAAGGCCATATTGTCAAAAATTAAACTTTTACAACTTAGGGTTCTGTGAGAAGTTTGCTAACATGGCTATTCACAGCCATGTTTATAATGCTTTATAAATGCATTATAATGCAACATGAACGTGATTAAAAATGACTAAAAACACGGCCTTAAGTAAAATGTTACCAAAAGTTCTTTTGACTCACAAAGTCATAATTGGCACGATTTCAAATAGTGGTGTGAGAGTTTAATCTTAGCTATTCTAAGTCCCTTCTGAATTCCTAAACCTCTTTTTCATATTCTAATGATACGCATAATTCCTCCTCAAAAGTCTTCAGTTGCTTTCTTGGTACTCCTGGTCATCTCTCTTCCCCTGTTGCATAACAAATCTTCATGCTGTCCACTGGAATCTTCGTTAGACTGGGTTTCATATCCTGCGAACACTGGCCACCTGCTCCCCTGAAGGCACGAGTGCCCTTTTCAGTTCTCCACGCCTTTGTTGTTCTCATGGCCCACATGCCTATAGTCTGATCCTATTGTCTCAGTCACTACTCTAAATTGTAGCTCACCAGAGACTTTCACAAAATCAGACTCAGATATTTAAAATGAACACACACTTCCTTAAAAAATATAATGTATGTTTTTAAGCAGGTTATTTGAATAAAAATACTTACTTTTGGTTCAGAGGGTAGCACTGTTGCCTCACATCTCCAGGTTGTAGGTTTGAATCCCAACCGCCACCCTGCGTGTGTGTACAGTAGTTTGCATGTTCTTCCTGTGTAGCTTGGAATTCCTCTGGCTTCATCTCTACAACATCATCTACAACAACCGACTGGGGAAATGAACAAAGGCAGGCACTTAAATACAAACAGAAACAAGGACTAATAAGAGGCAGGACAACATGCAACTGGTGGAGTGAATTACAATTAACAAACACAGGAACTAGGGAACACTGAGGGCAAACACTAGTAAAGACTATGAATGTAAGTGCAAGCAGAACAGAATTAAACCAGACACGGGCAGGGTAGACCAAAAACAAGGATACAAAGCAAAGACAATAACAAGTGCAAAGGAAAACAGTAAATCAAAAAATATTAAATAACAGGTGAGACTGGCCTCTGGCTAACATTAAACTCACAGCTGGAGGGGTTGAGCCTGAGCTGCTCACTCAACCAATTGAGCGACACAGCAGCCCAGGGTGCAGAGAAACACACTAGGGACTTAGGGTTACAAGACAGAGGAGGGAACAGGATGGCCAGCGACACCTGCTGGCCAAACAGGGACAAAACAAGTGGGACAGATTCAGACGAGCACAGAACCTGGCATAAACATTAACATTCTCAACCACAATCCCTATTCTTTGTGGATGCGAAACTTACATAGCTTATACCCACCGAACAGTTATTTAATAAATGAAACATGACTAGGCAGTTTCATCACGTATAAATAGTCATTTGGAACTTGTTATCCTTCACCCTGTTCGTAAGGAAATGAGTGCATGTGTGGTACAAGCCAGACAAAGCCCACAGGCTCGAGTGCCTGTTTCCCACAGCCAATGCTTCTGGCACCTCCTTTGCAGAGTTGGGTTAATTTTCCTGGCACAGATTATAGCCAGTCACTCCCATTGACGACACGTAAATGCCAATAAATACAAATCTATTCTGAGAAATCACATTCATCCTGTGGTGAAGCATTTCTGTCCGGAGTGGATTCTTCAACAGAAATTCCCCCATCCAAGTGGTCGCTGAGTGGTTCAGCGAGCATGAAAACGATGCATGCTCTCCGCCAGGGCCACCCAAGTCAGCAAATCTTCACCCAGCTTATACAGCTTATTTCAACTTGTCAACAAAACACACAGGTATGGAATTTATTATGAAGGAATGGCGTTTAATCCTTTCAAATCTACAATTGAATTTATTCCAATGCACATTGAAACTATTTTGCCAGTTTGCAGTGATTAAATGACCTACTAAGTCACTCCATGTCTGTGGTTTTATTATTTCAAAAATGATTTATAACTTTAATCATATTTTAAGTAGTTTTTCAGTCAGTTTTATGCAATTTATTCTGTTTCATGGCTATTTGCCATGAGATTCCTGGTCAGTTAATTTTGCTTCTTTTCTTTTCAAGAAAGGGGCATAAGAGACAAATATTTAAACATTGTAACACCCAAAATAAAATACCTATCATTTTACATGGGCATGTTTTTCGATGTATGTGTTCTGCGTGGTGCATAAGTTAAGATTCATAGTATCGCTACGATAGTATGTAAGTTACATATTTCAAATAGCTGGTTATTTTATTTGTATTACTTTGTAATTATATTCTTTGCTGACCATGATGAAATACAAAAGTCCTGAGTAGAGCCACAGGATGGAACAGAAGGCCTGTGAACCGTAAAACTCACGGAGAAGCTTCTAGAACAAAAGACTAAAATATGCGAAGGAAGAGAACAGAGAGAATCGGGCAAACAGACGCATCCGTGACTGTGGGGAGCCTGGCGGAATCTGCGCCCCCCCCCCCTCACCTTCTGTTATAAACACACTGGCTGGCGCCTCCACGCCACAGGGGGCGCCACCCACGGACACTGGATCTCTGTACATCTGAGCAAAATGGCATCACCTCAGCCCCTGTGCATGCCTGCTCCTCGACAACCTTCAGCAGCAAACGGACCTCAACAAAGGTACCTGAGGCCGCACCAGCTCCCGCTCTCTGCGCTGAACACTAAGATTTGCACCTTGTCTTAGCCTATGCTTTAGTCATGTCATATAAAAATGTAACAATGTATCTCTTAATTCATTTAATATTTTGGAGCATATGGCTCCTAAACGAATTATTGGCCATATTTTAAGCGAGGTGCCTTGAGGTGAATATAAACCTATTTTCGTTTTAATGTGATGTTTTACATTAATTTCAGATTAACTCATGGAGAAAATAATATATAGACGTGGCAAAATTGTAATTACTTTTTAAGGCCCATAACAAATAGCATTCGTATTTAATAACACAATTTATATGGCTTACAACTGAGGTCTTAAACAACCTAGCAATTTCCATAGCTACAGATGTGCCTGGACGTCAACAGAGAATAGTGTATTACCTCCTTTTTTCTCCATCTTAATTTGCATTTAGTGAGAGGCATTATATATTCCATTCAAGTAGCACAGTTGCCATTGTCTGCAGGTCATCTTACCTCTGCTCTCCCAGTAGGGGGCAGTCATTGAAAACAGACGAGAGTTTACCAAGCAGTCTGAGGAAACTTCTAGAGGCCTTCCTCCTGCATTAATATTGCCATGTAAATGAAAGAAGTGTAAGAAAAAATAAGCCAATATTTCCTCCAAAATAATCACACTATGCACATAAAATATTGATTCTGATTGATTGATTCATATGGTGTTCAAATACATATTTATTTGATTTTAGTCATATATATTATTAATATAATAATAATAATAATAATA